ATTAAGCAAACGTTTGTCCGGCAGTCATTTGTTAGCTTATCTCCACTTTCGATGCAGGCACCTGGCTATCTTCAACGATGTATCAATGCTGAATCAACGTAATGGTGTCATTCAAGACTCGACGTGCTTATCTGGGCGGCCTGTTTTTTCAGATGGGATCCCAATTTGTAGTGAAGAGCAGGGAAACAGACGGATGGGACAAGTATGTGTGTGTACACAGGGGGAAGGTGGGGAGTGAGGTCAGGGGTCAGTGTAAGAGAAACTGATGGCAGAAGGTCATGGGGGAAAGTTTGTTGAGGTTAAAGGGGGGTTTGGTTAGTCGAGGTTTAGGGGTTAATCCTCTATAGGATTGAGTCTAAAGTTAATATCCAGGCGACTCACCAGCTCTAGACCAATCAGTCATTCTATGAATCAACAACAGCTCTTTTGTGCTGATCCCACAGCTGAAGCATGTGTGTGGCATTTGTTTCATGATCATATAGTCTTTAGATTAAAGGCAGAGCGGCTACACATCTTGGGAACCCAAAAATGCATCTTGCTGTGACTAAGTTTGTCTGGGATTCATGCTATGAGTATAGGCCGCTACACACTGATCCAAATTGAGATTCGCACAAACTTTTGGATGTCTACTCAGCAGGGTGCTCTTACTCTGGGTCTAAAAAATATTGACGCTCCCTGCCTGAAGATGGGATTTGCAGAAAAACAGATGCCACACATCCTCTCTGTTCTCCATAGTTTTATTTATTCATAAGTTTAAAAAAAATGCATAATTCAGTCGTGAAATGACTTACACAATGTACAATCCCCATAAACACATAACAAAAACACCATTAACCCTGAGCCATGCAATTCTTTAAGGGCTCATGACATGTTGTGCCTTTTAGTGGCTTTCATAGTGATTTATAAGAGAAGATTGAATCAAAAATCCAAATTGGAAGTTCCAGAATAAAAAACAAGTTTCTTTTTTTCTAAAAACTGGTTTTATTCACACCATTGACAAAGTCACAAGAGTCCCATTTCAACACCACGGCCATACATGAAAGGTCTGATTTCTCTCTCACGGTAGTGATGCGCTATCCACAAATCAATGCCTTTGGGTGATATCCGGAAAAAAAACACATGAGGTAAACAGAAAGGGAAAGATGGAGCACTTACCTGCTTAGTATATTTGCTGCAGCCTGTATGAAGACTGGTGTCAGGACACGGTTACATTTATGATGATGGTTCGAATCCTGGGCGGGGCAGCCTCAATTTTTGTTTATAGAGTTCTTTTTTTCATTCTGCTTTAATGCTTTTACTTTTAAAACTGTATTTCATTGATAATTTTACTGTCAATAAATGTTGTGTAAAAGTGCATTACAAGGAGAAATCAATTTTCACATCTGGGTCACCACTGAACACGGTCACAACTCATTCAACAAAAATTCATTAAAATTATTCATTTACTTGTTCCTGCCAGCGGCTCCCTGGAAGCAAGAGCCTGTCAAGGCTTGAAACCCATTGAATATCTCTCTTACAGTGTCTCTCACAGCACAGCGCAAACAGTTTAGATCAGATTCTGACTCACAGCGTTACGGTTGTGTAACGTTTTCTCCCAACAGCATTACAGGGTCCATCGATGTAGCTTTAAACTTGTCATTTTATCTACCATGACCATCAGACTGTAACTTTGCATACACCTCATGAATATGCAAATCAGTAACCTGGGTAGTAGATACATAAGTTTTCCGAATGAAAATCTCAGCCCATTTCCGGAATAAGCCTGGGATGCCAAATAAACGTGATTTAAAGTAGAGACTTTTTAAGTAAAAGAATCAAATTTCCCATACAATTACACCATAGTGAACAATATATTATTAAAAATAAAAGAATGTCATGACCCCTTTAAAAAATCAATATGTCAAACAATTACCCATAATGCCCAGCATTTTCATATTATGAACAGCACCGAATTTTAAAGATTATTAAGAGGTGCTTTTTAACGTATACAGCCGTTTTTATTCTTTATATGTTTTAAGTGTCCCATGATATTTTCAACTAACGGAAATGCTTAGTTTTAATTAGTAGTAAACTAGTGTTTTATTTGTCCAAAAAGCAACCGAAAATACGTTAATGCATTTAAACAAATGTTCTGAGGCTCACATCTGCATTTGTTGGAATTGTTTGAACCGACTAGCGGAGTCTGATTCAGATCAACAATTGCTGGGTTAGCTCCACTGAATCTCTTTTATGTGTACATTAGATCATTAGACCATTGTTTCCACTTAGTGCTTGCCACCTCTTGCTGCAAAAAAACATGCAATGTACCTTTATGAAAGAAAAACCCACACTGTGCTTCAACAAAGTGCACCATGTACTGTTAGACAAAATAACAGCATGTACTTCCTGATACTCCAAGAGCACTTAACAGGCTTGGATCATTTCAGTTACGCTTTTCATAAAGGCAGCTTGTCAAAACAATGCTGCTTGCTTCAATAAATACCCAGAGTACACAAAAAATGACTCCACAGACGTTATTAATGATTTCAAAAATGTTGCTGAAGCAGGATCAACAATAAGAAGTCGCTACAATAATGGAACCTCAAGCTACCAATATTTCAGTCTACTCTACTTTCAAATATTTCAATGATCTTCCAGGTGGAAGCTTTTTTTTACCACAAAGAACTAATGCCAGACAGTTGCCAGATCCTCTCATATGGAAATGTGGTCCCTGCAAATGGGTCTTCATCTTAAATCCCTGGATGGGAGTTTCCCAATTCATTTTAAATCCCCATAAAACCTGTTCCATTCCCGTAAGAAGACACACCACACTGCGATCCTGTCACCGGTGTGAGTGGCATTCTGTGGGTATTTCTGTCCGGATGGCGCCATTTACCAGCCTTTGCGGTTGTCCTCTTGATGTCACAGCGCCTTGTTAAACACTCGCACCCCTTCTTATGGACTCTTTTAATACAGGAAGCTGGGACACCACATTTCACACAGTGTGATACAGAGCACATGGTAACATTTATCTCAAAGCTAAATTTCTGTCTAATTAACAGAAACGGGATTTACAACTGGCTTTATTTAAACCACCGTTACACATGCTACACACATGTGCACTTACCCGCTATCAAGTGTTTGGGTGCAGTAGAGCGTAGGCAGACATAAATCTTCAGAGATGTCACTGCGCTGGCATTTATTATTCTTCCTTGTGTGCAATTTTCTTTTTTGCTCTTTAATGGTGCCACGGATGTGTATTTTATTTGAACAAGCACCACTGGTGGTCCTGGCCAAGGTGTGATCACCTTTTATTGACATTTTTGTTCACGGTTACACATATTTTAACAGTAATGTACTGTTTGCTATAACTTGCTCTAGGAACACTGTAGTGATGGGTTGTTTTGAACGATTTGTTCTTTTTAAACGAATCTTTGATGTGACTCTGGAGGAACCAATCATTATGGAGAGGGATTCATTCAGTGGTGCAAGCACAATAATACTCATGGTTTTGTGAGTGTAACATATTCAACAATGACAAAAGAAGGACAAAAGAAGGAAAAAAAGAACTAAACCTTTCAGTTTCAAGCTCATACTGCATTGGTTAACATTGCAGGAGCACTTGCTGAAATTTATTTTATTTTTTTTTTGAATGGTTTCATTCATATTGTGAAGTGGTTACGTGACAAAAGGACTCAAGAAAATAACCATTGCCAATCAAATTGATTAAATTAATTTGGGCTCATTTCGGCCCGGACTGCACTCGTTAACGTCAGAGAGAGGTAATGTCTGGAACTTAGGAGACGTGTCAGATAAGAAGAGGGGTGAACCAGACTATAGATCCAGGTAGGCTTTTTTCATTCATTCACTTTCCAACCCGTTTATTCCCTTTTGGGGTCAAGGGGGTCACACATTGGTTTGAGAGGCGGTGGTAAACCCTGGACATGCCGCTAGTCCATCGCAGCCAAGTAGGCAGGTATATAGTAGATGTGTTAGAGGGATAGAGGGAAGTAGCACACAACATTTTATTGGCATTTCACTAAAATGAATGAAATGATTCAGAAAAATTGTTCTTTTTGCTGAAAGAGACTCAAAGATCTGAACTTCCCATTATTAGAACCCAGTGGAAGATTTGAGGAAAGTTTTTGTTGTAGTGGTTGGACAAAATTTCTAAAGAGATAAAAATGAAAAGGCAGTAGATGTTAGCTTTTACCATCATCATTATATTCAGTAAGATATCTGTTCTATCAATTAGCCAGATTTCTCCTTGTAGAAAACCAGTCACTCTTTTTGTTGGCACCACTCATTCGGTCGGATGTGTCACAAAATGTCACACAAAAATTCATGTAGGTGACTAGAGGCCTTAAGGTCGTGACAGGGAGCTAGACAAAGAGATAGAGTGGGGCAGGATGGGCACACAGAAGTCAAGCTCTTGAAGTCATGTCACCCTGTGCAACAGTGTCCTGACACTAGGCCACTGCGAAGGACATGGTTGTATACTTCATTGTATTAGGTTAACCTTCCTCAAAATTCAGCTGAAACATCACTACTTTTACATCATTTTTATTTTTTTAAAGTCTCAATCAAACTAAAGTCTCAGTATCAAACTCATTTCGGGAGGTGCTAGAATGCTAAATCCCAATCTGGTCAAACTGGGCTCTCCAAAAGACTAATTAGCCTATGTAAACCGTAATATTTCTCTGTTTCATTGCCTGTCAGGAGGAGACAGAAATCGGGGTGGGTATTTGGGTGGAGTGGCTGGAGGAAAGTAATGCAAATGGAATAGGAAACAGGAAGTAAGTTAAGTGACATTAGGACCATTAATGGAGTGACCCATCAGAGGAATTTTTGCTCTGCATTTCACCCTGCCACATGCACACTGTGAACATACACCTGGAGCAGTGGGCAGCTATTGCTGCAGTGACCAGGGAGCAGTTGGTGAAAGTGGTGACTTGCTCAAGGCCACCACACTCATGGTTGTCACAGGTGCGAGCTTTTATCACTAACCCCATCTTCAACTCCTAGAGGAGCAGGGGATCGAACCAGCGACTCTCTGATCCACAGTCAATCATCTTATCCACTAGGCCCCCATATGGCTCAGGTTTATTTCCAACTTTAGTTCTTTAGAGGTTTTCTGGTGGTAACAATATGGAAACGGGGGAACGTAGAAAGGTCTATGGTAGCTGGTGTGCATTATGTTCCATGTCCTTTCCCTTTTTCTTATCTTTCTCACTCACTCTATCATCTACAAGTATTACCATTTCCTTTGTTTCACGTGTTTCCTAACCAGGTACCTTTTCTTGTTAAGCCCTTCGCTTTATGTACCTGCACTTTTCATTTGTTGGATCTACAGTACACACGAATTGACTCACCTTGATTTTTACTTACAGGAAATGTGAACGCCTAACTCCAGCACTGTGTCTTTAGTGGAATATCTCTCCTGGATACTTCTACACTCATCTACTTCATGAACTTTCCACTTCCTGCAAGTATACAAACTACTCAGCCAGTCCTTCCAGTGAAGATGCTGAGGGTTTGCTTGTCTGGTGACATTGATCTGGTGCTCCTTGAAGGTCCTTCTTCTGTATATTTTAACATTCAATAAACACTGCACAAATCTCATAATTCCCATCGTCTCCTTGCCAGTTTTGACAGCATTGTAGATCACAAATGGTGGAATGAAGAAGGTAAGAGGGTGGGACTATAGAGATGTGAAGGATCATTTTACTCAACTACATTTAGCAAAATCAGTCATTCCTTTTTATGTATGAGTGGTCAAAAAAAAAACCCTAATTGGTCAAGCATGTGCGAGGCACCAATCAGGGTACAGGGGGGTCTGTTTTTAATTGTTTCTGTTGACACTTGGTTGTATCTACTTGGTGTGAGTGGTATTCAGTGATAGTTCAAAAGCAGCATTTTTGAGACCCCCGTGTCTTAATAAATGATGGAAGAAACTCCCGAAACTAGTTTCTGTTAGGGTAATCTGCACAGGAAAGGAAATTTCTAAAGGAAATTTAAATTCAAGCTTTTGAGCTCATGATCATAAGCTTCATAAGTTTAAGCAAGAGTCTTGATAAAAAAAAATGTTAATTGTATATTATAGCCTTAATAAATCATAGTACTTTGGAAACTTAAGTAGATTTTAAGGCAAATACTTTTTTACTTTTACTCAAGTGAAATACTGAAGAACTTTTACTTTTACTGGAGTAATATTTTACAGAGCGTATCACTACTTTAACTCAAGTAATTAGTTTGTGTACTTTGGCCACCACTGCCAAAAACGTCATACACACCATTAAAATAAGCATCAATTTGGAATCTATCAAATGTTCTGTCAATATTTTGTTTGACAAACACGATACAAGTAATGTATTCCAGCAGAAAGCAACAAATCCATTAAGCCAAGCATTGGACACTTTTCAATGAGATGCCACTCATGGGTGTGCAAGTAGAGAAACAAGTTCAAAAAGATGTGATGAGGCGAACAAAAAATGAGTCTTTAATTCATACTATTTGCTAAAAGAAGATAAAGTGCACTAGGTGATTAATTTTTTATTTATTATTTAACAGTGCACACAAATATATTGTTTTAAAAATACAAATTAATCAACGAATACAATGGAACTTTGTATATTTCAAACTTTTCTGGAGAGACACCACAGGATCGAGGAGAACATGAGTGGACCAAGGAACACAAGGTGTTGCTGTTGAGTCGGGTGTAGTGAACTGTAGATCCGACACTCGAGGAACGTGAAGTGATGGGTGTTGAGGTTATGCTCTCATTTTACTAGTGAGAGATTTTAGAATGTAGGGTACATTACTTGCTTATTTAAAAAAGTGAAGGAAACACAAACTTTCTTCTGTCTATGACTTTATTGAACAGCAAAAAAATCTAAATTGCTTTTTAAAACTCAAATTGAGTTGCGTAATAAAACATTCACATGACTCCACATGAGGCAGCGTTTTTAAAGAGAAATTAATAGATATAATCTCCCTGGAAAAATGTGAACAGTTATAGCTTCTGAATGGCGAGTATGATTAATTTTCAGGGACATAAACATAGTTCTGACACTTCCCATGAGTACAAATAGCTTTTACCTGTTATTTATGTATTTAGTTTGTAAATTTTCATGTTAAACTTCCTTACATTATTTCAATGGAAGGAATTTATGGGATTTTTAGTACCTCTGATCTAATGAGAAAAATGAATTTGTCTGACATGAGGGAATGTAAATGTTAAATCTTTAATTTTCTCAAGAATATTTGATTAAGCCAACTCCATCTTGTGGGCTAATCTAATAATCTATAAATATTTCCCAAATGCATTTTACAATCATTGACTAATAATCCAGCAAGTAAACAAATCTTCGCTACTTGATTAAAAAATCCAGCTGGTTCCACTGCTTGAGTATGTTTATGAGGCTTCACTGTCTGCGTGTGTTCTATATGTACTTCCCTGAAAGCTTGTCGAGCCTCATTATGGCAGAAAGAAAAAGCAATAACTGACATGAGCTCTAATCTCCTCAAAGACCTTTTCGACCCTATAGCAGCACACAATCTGTGGCCTTTAAAAATACTCACCTAGAGAAAACCGAGGGATGGGGGTTTGACTGACTCAGGGAGTGGTAGAAAGAGAGAGAGGGGCTGAAAATCCTGCAAAGGAGTGAAGGAAAGATGGAGTGATACGTGGAGATGGGGAAAGAGGAGGAGCGTGCCTGTGCGCTGACAGCTCCCGCAGTCTCTGTGGGTTTGGTGTCTCATCCCTGACATTTGGAACAATATTGCGCTAGTATGAGTCTACAACACACACGTCTCTCTTTCTGCCTTGCAGGGAGAGCTATGTTATGGTTTGTTCCTAAAGGGAAGAGGAATAGCTGCTTGTTTTTTTCACAATGGAAGAGCTTATTTCTCGTGTGTCTCTCTTTCTCTCTCAATAAAGGATTTTGCACTTTTGATGCTACCCGTCATTCTGTGCAATGCAGTGGAAAGCAATATTTTATGGTTTGTTTAAAACCAATAGAAAATGTACCCAGTTCCCTGTCAATTACTCAACATTGGGGTTTAACACTATGTGCCTCAAATGTAGAGGATGATAAAAATAAACAATTCACTTCAGTCAGTTCCAAGGTAATGAAATTAAAAAAACATTATGAATAGTCAAAATCTGTAACAAGTATAAAATGTTGAATGAAATTTTGTGTGGTTTCGCAGCAGGGTGCTCTTTGTTTGGCTTGAGGAAATATCGATGCAATTACGCTCCCTGCCTGAAGATGGCTACAACACAGAAAAAGAAGAAGTAGCCAGAGAAGAAAACACACACAAACAAAAAAACATGGTTATCAAGCGGTTTATACTGCTGGAGGCTGATCATAGGGAGCTGTTTGACGAAAATGTGGAGAAAAGAGAGGATTTGTGGCGCACTATTTATATCCTGTTTCCTGTGTGAAGTCTGGATGATCGAAATGTGGGATGAAGGCTACCGAACGTCTCTTTTACATCTGAAAAACGGATCCGATATGAGACTTCTGTTGGTGCTTCGGGAAAAAAAATTCAGATCAATGTGTAGAAGCCTAATGAATTTTCAGTTTTAAAGGGTTACATATATCACCTAGCGTCATGCTACTTCTTCGAGGCCGTCATGGTTTTACGACTTGTAATGTAGTTACTTAGCTGTTGGGGATTCACTGGCAATTATTCTTCAGTGTTGGAAAGACCTGAGAACACTTTCACTCCTCCACAATCAGATGTCAACAGAAAGCACCCACAACCTCATGATCTACAGTCAATTTCACCTAAAATTCCAACAAATTCTCACCAAACACATTTCCTAGTTGTCTGATAACCAAATCACCATCAACTGCTGGCCTTTGTGCTAAGATCTGCTTTGATGTTTATATCCGATGTCTGTTTACACATTCCTTCAAAAGCAACCAGTATACAATTCATATGTTTGCACTTGCCATAGCAACATGGAAGAGGTCATCTGGATGTTGTAGAATTCGAAGTGGAAAAGATGGATTCACGTGGAAAATGCTTAAATGGCCAAATGATTTTGAGGCCGGAGATGGAGAAAATTGTATTTTCCTCCCCAATGTTCGGTTGTTTGTTGCTAACACACGCTTGCACGTGAACTTCTCAGATGCCGTCAGTGAAACCGCTGCGAACTTTGTTCTAAATTGTCTCCGTTTAATGACGTTGAGTTCGCAATGTTTCAGAAATTCCAATTGCCTGTTTATATCTGATTTATATCCAGTTAAGAATGAGGCCTGATTCCAAACTCAAAATAACCAGATGAATCATTTTTCCCCTGGTAAGTCTCTCTTTAATGTTGTTTTCTGTTCCTTTTGTTTCTACAAAAATCTTGTTTATTATGTACGAGGACAATGCTGGCAAAAAGCATTTATATTAAATCTATATTGAAATAATAAAAACAAATTCTTATTTGTAATCATAAGCAGCATTTATGCTTTGCTCCAAGACCACCTTATTTCATGCTTAAACTGCACCAAACATAACATTTCATCAGGTTGCTATGCATTACGTTCCCTCTTTCTATGCTTAAAATTGACATCTTGTAAGAATTAATCTCAGGCGGCTTATTTTCAGAACTAACCAAATCGATTGTTAACATCTTGGTGCTCTAGGCTTATAGTGTACTTCCAAACTGTTCAGTAGGTGGAATACAGTAGGTGGAAGATCGGATGTACCTGGATAATCAGATGTGACATTAGGATCTAATGAACTATGGTTCTAAGTTGAGGGCATGCATGTGACATTTTTGGTGAAAAGTGGTGTGGCCATGGAGTTGGTATAACCGCAAGGTTGACGGTTTGATGTCCAGCAGGTCCATTCTGCCATTGTGGCCTTGGAGTAGCCACTTCCCCCCGCAGTGCTGTGTGTGACTTGTGTGGTGTGTTTGGTGGTGGGCAGGAGGCCATAGCCACTAAATGGCAGTTTTGTCAACCTGCCACCGGGCAGCTGAGGGCTACCAAGGTATCTTATGACTGTGTAAATACTTGTACACATACAATCAGAATGTCCATGGATGCCATCTCTTCATCCCTCTCTGACAAATCCCTCTTTAAAGACCAGA